GACGAAGCGCCAATGTTCGATCTCCGTGCGCGCACCCGGGGACAGTTTTGTGTGCGTTTTGTCTTGCTTCACGGAATTTTCGCCAAGTCTTTCCTAAATTTTCCCTCATCGAATCTTTTGAAGATTCTTGTAGATATGTATTTCGGCGGTGGTCTTACTACCAAAATCTGTATACCTCCAGTAAATGTGATCCAACAAGAAAAGAATTTAATTGTTTTTTTTTTAAATGAAGGGATTAAAAGATTAAATGAAGAAGATAAGATTAAATGTGAAGGAAAGATCACTAAATTTGAATTAGATAAAGCTCTCAAACAACTACACAAAAACAAAAATAAAGCGCCCGGTTGCGACGGACTCACAGTAGAATTTTATGTCAAGTTTTGGGATTTGCTTAAAGATCAACTTGTTGATGCCACAAATCATGCTTTTGAATTAGGTACACTACCAATATCCCAAAGACGTGGAGTTATAAGACTTATCCCCAAAAAATATTCAAACCTTAGTACTCTAGACAACTGGCGCCCAATTAGTCTCCTAAACGTTGACTCTAAAATCATCAGTAAAGCCCTAACTATGCGAATAGAACCTTTACTCCCCTCCATAATCCATGAAGATCAAACTGGCTTCATAAAACAAAGATACATAGGAAGCAATATCAGACGCATATGGGATACCATAGAATACTGTGATAAAGAAAACACCCCTGGAGTAATCTTGTTTTTAGATTTTAAAAAAGCATATGATAGTGTAGAACCATCCTTTATAATTAAAGCTTTAGAAACCATGAACTTTGGAAAAGACATGATAAAATGGGTAAAATTACTGTACAACTAGAAAGGCCAATATTTGCTTTGGAGCAAATATAGCGATGGGTTCACCACATTTTACCACATGGCAGGGAAAGAATGAGAAACACAAGGGAAAACAATGCTTTACATTGATATAACTATAGTATGAAGTAACATACAACTAAGACTACAACAGTTGGATAGCTATTCCCTACATTATTGGTTAGGATTGCATAATGCAAACTGTTGATTTTCAAGATAAAAAGAAGCGTTCATAGCCCGCATTCCAATGCTGGAGCAGGAAAGCTTAAAATACCTACCAAAACACTTGAATACAGACATACTGTCAGTATGGCATGGCTCTGTGCAGGTGTAAATGAAGTTAAGCCAGTTAAATCCCAACAGCCAATCAGCAAGGAGAATAGAGGAAAGCTGCATGCCTATTGGTTGATGCCTTGCATGCCATTGTGATGACTCATGTCCAAATGTGGTAAACACTGCACACTTACACAGTAATACATTAGCTATTACACAGCCAAAAAACTCAAATAAAACCATTCTAAAAGCCTGTATCACAATAATTTAAAAAACGCCTAGGGGTATTTGCCCACTGTACCTCCATACCAAATTTCAGGACCTTAGGCCCTAAAATGAAGAAGCTGAATCCCATTTAAAGATATGGCAGGAGGAGGAGGAGGAGGAGAAGAAGGAGAAGAAACATCAGAAAAAGCAATATGGTTTCACCACACCACTTCGTGGTGTGGTGAACCCATAATAATATAAACAGCTGCGTTATCAACAATGGTTACAGCTCGTCATGGTTAAATGTACAAAGAGGAGTTAGACAAGGGGATCCTCCATCCTCCAGCTTGTTCATTATTGGCCTAGAAATAGTAGCAACTAAAATTATAACAGATACAAACATTAGAGGACTAGAAGTATATAATAAAACTCACAAATTATCCATGTATGCAGATGATATGACATCCCTGTTACTAGACATAACCTCTGCAAACAAAGTACCAGATACACTAAACCTGTTCAGAAAATGCAGTGGATTAGAACTAAATAAAGGAAAAACTGAAGCTTTGTGGATAGGATCAGACAAGAATAGACAAGATCAGCCCCTACCTGTACGGTGGCCCCAAACCCCCATCAAGGCATTAGGTACACACTTTGGACAAAACCATTCTAAATGTTACAATGAGAACTTTGACAAAAACTTTGAAAACATGAAAAAGTTATGTGATGTATGGAGAAGTAGAAATTTAACCATGATAGGAAGAATTTTAATAATTAAAGCCCTGGGTATTTCTAAGATGGTATATAACTGCTCAGTACTACATGCCCCATCATATCTTCTGAAACAAGTAAATGAATATATATTCCAATACCTTTGGCAAAAGAAACCTCCCAAGGTAAAAATGAAAACATTGATTGGCCAAAAATCCCAAGGAGGCCTTAAAATGGTTGATTTCACAATAATGAACAAGGCACTGAAAGCCACATGGATAAAAAGACTTATTATTGATCCATTAAAAGAAAAAGAATCATTATTTTCCAAATGGGGAGGCTATCTTCTGTTCAAATGTAAGGCCATGTTGATTTGGTTATATGGATGACATCCTCCGGGAGCCCCAAAACTGATGCGCGCGTGCGAATAAAAAAAAGTTTTGCAAAAAAAAAGTTCTTTTCATTATGAAATCTACGTGGTCATGAGGGTTGAGCAAATGGCACAGAATATGGTTTGGCGAATAATCTAGTCTTCAAGTTCATTTCTTTACAATTTCGTCTTTTTTCGTTTGATTTTGGCATTCTACGACATTGGTATAGGTTTTATTAATTTTTTTGTAACTTATGGTATATTTTTTGCTCATTTTGCAACTGTTTTGTACGGTTTACAGTATGGTTGAAAACTTTTTTTTTGGAAACGGCCGAAAATTCATGCGCGCGCGGATGTCATCCATATAATCAAATCAACATGGCCTAATTATTCTACCAAGTTATTGAATATGGAAAGAGACATCATAATAGCCTGGGAAGAAGTCATACAACATAAACCATTATCACACAGGCAGATTGTTTCTCAAGTCTTGTGGAATAATAGATTTATTGTGATTGGGAATACTTCTGTATACTTCAAATCTTGGGCCGTGGCTGGAATTACTTACATCCATGACCTATTACATGAAGATGGTACCTTTATGACAATGAATGACCTGTACAATGAATATGGTATAGAGAATAGTCCATGTCAAGTAATGAATTACAACCCACTCAAGACAGCAATACTTAGGAAATGGAAAGAAATAGTTAAAAACGAAAGACGAAAATGTACACCCGAAAACATCATACAATACTCAGATAAGATAGACCCAAACAAATTAACATGCAAATTAATATATGATATAATAATGAAAAAACAATTTGAAATATCATGTCAACAGAATAATATCATACAAAAATTAGACTTCCAAGATCTCATACCTTCGCCAAATGATGTCAGCCTTTATGACTAAGAAATTATAGATCAATCCCCCTGATTGCGCAAATAGGATCCTCAATTGCATCAATTATATCAGTTGATCATATTCCACTGCCTTTTACCTACCAAAACGAAGTCAAGTACCCAATGGCTATTTTACACTTGGGTGGAGTGAGGAAAGTCGCGTGAGGTGCCTGTCCGAATGACACGCGTGTAGTGAGAAATGCCAGGAATGGAACCCTCGACCTCTCGGTCTCGTGTCTGATAGTCTTACCATTCGGTCATTCGAGACAACCAACAGGGGATACTTCAAAGAGTTGATATCAGAGCTTTTGAACATATCAACAGCTGTATTACTTGCTTGTTGCACAACATATTGTACTGGAACTTTTTTCTCTGCATGAGAAGAGTGATGACAAATTTTATCTTTAATATATTTGTCTGACCCTTACCTCTTCCCTCATGACCTCAATGAAAGGTAGTTTGCACGCCGATTTGAGCTTTGATAAATAATGAAAATAAATAATGGTTCAAACAAAATCAAACAAAGACCTATGGCATACCACGTGGTCAGTATTGACGACGTTGCTGACGTAGAGCAGGTTGGTCCACCAGTTGGACCTGCAGAGGGGGTCTAAGTCTTCTCCCGGCCAGACGGGGCCAATGAACATGTACGGGTACACACACAGCCACATCATCAGGACAAACGCGTAGGGCATCGTCAGTCTGCCAGAGAAAACAAACAAACAATCAAGGACATAGAACGGTATTCAAGAGGCCATCTACGGGGATGCCACAAACTTTCTGCAACCTATTATCGACCACAGAGCATGAAACGTGTCGTGGCAAACCAAGGATTGGCAAACCAACAGTATGAAACTTCTTACCTCCAGTATTTGTGGACGTACATCATCCAGTACGGGATCGACTCTCCCTTGTCTCTGCTCTTCTGTATCCGCTTCAAGAGGAGGAAAGCCATCAGCAGGCCACTGGAAGGGCAGATCGAGATTACGGCTTGGTGTCATACTGTTTCCAAGGCCTGCACAGGCTCATAGCTCATGTTGTGTCCCAAACCGTGGCTGGGCGGGCACAGAACGGGACACAGCCTGACTGTTCATGATCAGAACCGTGTCCGGAAGTGCTGTCAATCATAGTGATTGGCGGGACCAGACACGGTTTGGGACAAGGCCATCGCGTGTCCCGAACTATGCTCAGTCCCCAGGCACGGTTTGGGACACGCACCGAGTGTTCCAGACCATGCCCAGGCAAGGTTTGGGACAAGGCACAGTTTGGGACACAACACACTCTTGAGTTAAATCCTTTAAAATAGGACACTGAAGGTCGTCAGGGTCTAACTCAGGGGTGTCTGTGGTACAATTATCTTTGGGGCAAGCTGGCCCTGAAACAGACATTCGATATATTTGTCCAACAAAAACTAGCCCTTGACAAGATTTAAAGACTTCGTGTTAAGTATGATTAAGATGTAGAAACAGGTGCATGTATGAACCAGCCAACTTATTCAAAAGGAGCTAAACCAACATGAAAAGTGTGGACAATGACAAGTACCTGAAATATCTTGAAAGTAGTTATTACTTCAATCTAGCAGTTCAAAGCTTTGGATTTTGATCCTTGTTAAAGGTCAAGTCGATCACTTCAAAATTAGTGGAAAAAAAACAAAATTGCACAGAAGAGACTGTGTATTCTACAGTCAATGTGATGTATGTGTCATGTCTCTGAAGACCAGACATTTCCTGTTTTTAGTGACCTGTCCAGACGGTTACGAGAAGTATCTTGAAGTCTGCTACAAAGCCTTTAAGGCCTTGAAGACCTTCTCCAAATCGGCCAAGACCTGTCGGGCTGACGGAGGCACCCTCGCCATGCCCCGCGACGCCGGTATCCACGACTTCCTCTTCTCCCTGATGAAACCGCTACTACCGCTACCGCTATTCGATTTTTGGATCGGCTTACATGATGAGCGACAAGAAGGCAAGTGGGAGTGGATAGACGGCACCGCTCTGGGGACAGGCTATAACCGCTGGAAGAACGGTCAACCCGACAACTATGGGGGGAATCAGGACTGCGCTTTCTATAGCTACTGGGGATCGGGCAGGTCTCCCTCGTCGGCCTTTTGGTATGATGAGCCTTGTAACAGAAGCAACCGTTTCATCTGTCAAGTCCTGCCGTCAGGTGCGTATTATTTTACAAACTGATATGACAGTTTATAAATAATGCAGACATGTCGAGTTAACAGATACAAGTACTGAGTATACAAACCTTAATGTTCTTTTTTCAAAGGACTATCAGTGCGTATCTGGTAGAACTGTCGTGTAAAATCAATAATTTGTACTAAATTATACATCATTCCACAATAATAAAGAATGGCAAATGAAACATAAATGCTAATTCATGATGCTGAAATAAAGTAAGCAGACAGGAATAGAGAAAATACTGAAAACAGCCCTCTGCTAATCACAAATCTTTTATTCATCTTCCCTTTAGCTGCTCCAGGCAAGTAACCGGACGCCCATGTATGGGAAGCGGCCCCGGCTACAGTCGTGAAACGTGGGTCCCGACATCCGGGTGTGAAGACGACTTAGAAGTGACCTAGGCGTCACATGTAGAAACAGCCATCATTCTAGGCTGAGGCAGGTTTAATTCCACCGACAGCACTACGGCTCTAGTCTGCTTACGTAAATAAGGATTTGATGTCTTGAGATGACATAACAGTTCACAATTGAAGCACTGTTTTAGTTTTTGCCTTTACATGTTTTGTGATGACAAAAAATACATGTAACAACAGTGACCGGAGCAATAACTAAAGAAGATACAGCGTTAGTTCGCCTTGCATTCAGGAGATCGACGATTCATAACAATGTCTTCTAAGTTCTAGAATGATTTCATTTTTCAGCGGTTCTGCCCAGTGCAGTACCATATAGGCTTAGTGTTGTGGAGGACAAGATACGAGGGGTCAATACATGTATAAACGTAAAATTTCGTAAGAGTTGTATGCAAGTTGCGGAGCGTATAATGAAAAGATGAAACGGTGGGTAAAGTACAATGGCAGAGTGAATCAATTGCTTTATCATCATTGTTAAAACAATAAAAATGACACATGCTGAAAGAAAGATGAAAGGCCTGCCTCGACCCTTGGTTTGTCAATAAAATATTGTTGACACTGAGGACATGGGTGAGGCGACACCACCCTGAGCGCTTGCGCAAAATAGAATAGTAAGGATGATAGCGGCTAAACATGACCTTTGCAAAGAAAAAACATGTAAAAGTGCTGTGAGCTTAATTGGTCTGCGAGTGTTGCGAGTGGTTCTTGGAACGTCACTGTTTGATACGCATATGGATGGAAGGGAGACGAGACTTTCTTCGCGCGTCTTTCTGTGTTGATTCAATTCATGTAATCTTCAGTGCCAACGTCATAAACAGACAATCATTGTGGGTGTAATAAAATAACAGAGAACGTTTGAAGCGCTACATTTCGGGTAAACAAGTTGGTGGCAAGAAGACGACTGCCTGCGCTGCGATGGAAGAAAACGTCTACAAGGAGGCCTGTAACGTCAGCAGTTCCTACAACGAGGATGCCAGCAATGACTACGAAGAGGCCTGTACAGTTTCTCCGTCGAGGGTTTCGACTAGAAAGAGGACCTTTGGCCTGAACCTCGAAACGGGAGCCTCAGACTTAGCAAAAGAACCAGGTAAGGTTCTGTAAAGATCAGGAATATCTCAGAAGCGCCAAACATTCTTACTGCTACATACGAACTCACACGTTTAGCACGTTACAGATAAAAATTTGATCGTCACCTGTTATGTCAAAATGTAGTACAATCTAATAAGCAAGGGTTCCAAGACTAAACTGTAGAAATTTTGCCAATTATGCAAATTAGGTCTTCTTTGATAAGATAAGACTGTCATTTGGGTTTATAATATGATCAACTGATTCAGAAGTTGTTTATACAGATGAGGAAATTATTTGCATGATTGATGAGAAAAATTTATGATTTACAATATAAAGGCACACCACGAAGCCATAATAAGTCATAGATCTTAAAATTATCGAGCAAAGGTATAGTGTCTCTAGTTTTATCTGTATTGTCATTTTGGTTGAAGTCATTATGAAACAAGTTTGAACTGTAATGGCCAATTTTATAATAATGGTAAATTTGGGTGAGTCCGATCTATTGTGTTTGTCATTACAGTTCAAACCTGTTTCATAGTGTCTCTAGTTGCTAGGATTTACCCCAGAAGCAGAAACGTGACGTATTGAATATTGTACATTCCTCAGGTTCGTCTGGGTCTCTGTCTCAGCGCCAAGCCGCCGACCCCGGACCTGCCTCTGCTGAGACCGCTGGGTACATCCCTGGGGTTGGTCTGAGGGGCCCTGGTCAGTCCCGAGTCTGGACCAGCGCCATGTTGAAAACCTACGCTGTGGTGACAATGATCCTGATTTGCTGTCTGCTGGGAGTTACCATCTCTCTGGGTAAATAAATGAGCAATGTATTTTTCTTAGAATATTGTTAGTAAAAATGAGTAAAAACTGAACATTAATTGTAATTGCCTGTCCTCTTTCCTACATTATTCGGTGTTCTTGTCCATTTATACAGCTATGAAGATGTCTGACCTGAGGTTGACAGTCCGAAATCTTGACCGGGAGACAAAGGGTGATCTGAAAGACCTGAAGCTGTCAGTCAACAAGCTCGACAAGAAGACAACTGATGATCTGTCGGATCTGAAGCTGTCGGTCATCGAGCTGGACACGAAGACAGCCGAGATCCACGTCTCTTGGTCGAATTATCGCCAGCAGGTATGAAGAAAATTCTTTTTGTAAAACATATCAGGGCCTAGATGACATATTGGAGAGTCAATGAGTTTTAATCGATGTGTTAGTAATTTTAACAGTGAAATCCAATATCATCAAATGACATACTACCACTAAGATGGCGAGTTAACGTACCACAAATATTACTAAGCTATATCCGTTGGTTCCATCCATTGCGAAACATGACTGTAAATCAGGGCATTTGATTTACAGGAAATGAAAGAGGACCTGTCGGCAAAGCTGGTGGAAAATGAGAAAGCTGTGAACAACGTCGCAGCCAGCGTGACACATCTGACCAAGTCAGGGCTGCTGGAGAAGGAGAAGATACTGCACCGTCTGGAGAATCTGGAGGACAACATGAAGAACAAACAAGACGAACCGGAGAAAGAGCGCGCTCCGATACGCCTGCCAGGTAGGAAGGGTTTTCAATATGGTGACTTAAATCATTACATCATTCCCTTTGTCGGTTAAGCACAAAGAAATGACTTAACGATAACTCCTGACCCAAAACCTGAAGAAAACCGAATTTGTCAAACAAAAACTAGCATTTAAACTAGCATTTTTGACAAGCATTAAAAGACTTCAATTTAAATAGGATTAAGATGTAGAAACAGATGTAAGATGTATGAACCAGCCAACTTCTTTAAAAAAAAGATAAACATAGAAGTGTAAACGACGATGAAAAGCACCTGAAATGTTTGGAAAGTAGCTATTACTTGCATTGGACAATCCAAACTTTTTTAAACGTCAAGTCCATCTTTTTAAAGATGAAAGACAAAAGACAGAATTGCAAAGACTAGAATTTTATGTAGACTGCAGTTTGTGTGATATAGGTGACATGTCTCTCAACACCAGATATTACCATATTGTTCAGGGAATTGTCCTGACGGTTACAAGAAGTATCGCGAAGTCTGCTACAAAGCGTTTGACGCCAAGAAGACCTTCTCCAAATCGGCCGAGACCTGTCGGGCTGACGGAGGCACCCTCGCCATGCCCCGCGACGCCCGGGTATCCACGACTTCCTCTTCTCCCTGCAGAAACCGGTATGTAGGATCTGCGGCTTTTGGATCGGCTTACATGATAAGCATCAAGAAGGCAAGTGGGAGTGGATAGACGGCACCGCTCTAGGGACCGGCTACAACCGGTGGAGTTACAAAGAACCCGACAACGCTGGGGGGAATCAGCACTGCGCTTTGTACTGGGGATCGGGCAGGTCTCCCTCGTCGGTCTTTTGGCATGATGAGGATTGTAACGACAGATACCGTTTCATCTGCCAAGTCCTGCCGTCAGGTTCGTATCATTTCACAAACTGGCGTGATATTTCATGAATAATGCAGGCATGTCGAGTTAAAAGATACAAGTACTGAGCATAGAAACTTTTTTAATTAAATCCTTTTTTTTCGAAGTACTATCAGTCCGTAGCTAGTAGCATTGACTTGTCAAAATCAATACTTTGTACATGATTATAAATCGTGGGAACATGCATGTAGGATAAGATCATCCAACAATGATAAAGAATGGCAAATGAGACATAAATGCCAATTTTTAATGCTGAAATAAAGTAAGCAGACAGGAAGAGAGAAAATACTGAGAACAGCCCTTTGCTAATCACAAATCTTTTATTCATGTTCCCTTCAGCTGCTCCAGGCAAGTAACCGGACGCCCATATATGGGAAGCGGCCCCGGCTACAGTCGTGAAACGTGGGTCCCGACATCCGGGTGTGAAGACGACTTAGAAGTGACGTAGGCGTCACGTGTAGAAACAGCCAATATTTTAGTCTGAGGGAGGTTTAATTCCACGGACAGCGCTACAGCTCTAGTCTACTTACGTAACTAATTAAGGCTTTGATGTCTTGAGATGACATAACAGTTCACAATTTTTGCACTGTTTTAGTTTTAGTTTTTGCCTTTAAATGTTTTGTGATAACAAAAAATACATGTAACAACAGTGACCGGAGCAGTAACTAAAGAAGATACAGCGTTAGTTCGCCTTGCATTCAGGAGATTGACGATTCATTACAATGTCCTCTAGAATGGATTTCATTTTTCAGCGGTTCTGCCCAGTGCAGTACCATATAGGCTTAGAGTTGTGGAGGACAAGATACGAGGGGTCAATATATGGAATCCATGTATAAACGTAGAATTAGTGAAAATGCACTGTATACAAGTTGTAACACGTATCAAGAAAAAATGACACCGTGGGTAAAGTACGTAATCAGTTAGCCTTTGTACAATCTGGATTTTGCTCCGCAACGCTCGAAAAAAATCACATTTTTTCAAGAATTACAGAGTGCAAATCCGAAAAGTACAATGGCAGAAGGACTTCATTGCGTTATCATCGTGCATCTAACACGAGAAAAAAAAAAACATGACTTTTCACATTTACTGCGGCATTGTGCACTTAATTGATCTGCAGGTGACGCTAGTGGCAATGGGAACATGATTGTTTGGTACGGATGTGAGGGAAGTCATTGAATTTTTAAGGCCTCTGAACAGCTCCCTTTTAAGTTGGATTTTTTTCCTTCGCACATATTTTTCTCTGCTGATTTAATTCATGTAATACTCTGTCAACGTCAGAACCAGACAATTATAGTGGGCATGACTGAGAAAAACAAGTAGTGTTTAACGTTTGACACGCTACGTTTTGGGTAAACAAGCCGGTTGTGAGAAGACGACCGCCTGCCTGCGATGGAAGAAAACGTCTACAAGGAGGCCTGCAGGGTCTTCAGCTCCTGCGACGATCTCGGGGAGGCCAGCAACGACTACGAGGAGGCCTGCACGGCCTGCTCTCCGCCGAAGATGCCGGCTACGAAGATAGGGAGGGCTCCTGGCCTGAACCCAGCACCTGGAACGTCAGACGTTTCCGGAGAGCCAGGTAAGGTTCTCTGCAGTTTTAAAGTAATCCAGAATCAAAGGGGATTTAATAAGTACAGGTCCCAGAGACGACAAGAGGTCAAGCCTGCATAAATATAATATAATAAAACAATGCATTGATTTTGTTGACTCTAATATAATAGTGCAGCACGTTAGAAATCTGTCCCGATTGGTCTACGTTTTCCTCACGTTTTGATCTGTATTTTGCGTTTCTCTGTTCGTCTCAGTATTTCCTTAAGATACTGACTACATTCTTCAGGTTCGTCCGGGTCTAAGTCTAACAACAAGCGCCAAGCCGCCGACCCCACACCTGCCTCTGCTGAGACCGCTGGCGACATGAAGATGTCGGTTAGGAGGATAGGGAAGGCTCCTGGCCCGAACCCAGCACCAAGCATGTCAGGCGTTTCAGGAGAGCCAGGTAAGGTTCTCTGTATTGTCAAAATAATCCAAAAGGAGGGGAAAATCATTACAGGTCCGAGAGACGGTAAGAGATTAAGTCTGCATAATATAAAACAAGGCAGTAATTTTGTCGACTTTCCTATTCCATAAGCGATACTAAATCATCAGATCAACACATGACCATATTGAATGAATGAAACCTTTATTGTACGTTTGTGCTCTAACAAGCTAGTAAGTACAAGTCACGAATAAACAGGGGAAAAGAATACGGCAATAACACTTAAACTATACATAGAAATGTGGTCTGCTATTTACAGGTTCAAGTTCTTCTCGCTTCTTCAGGCAGTTATAGATGTAAGAACAGATTGGGCTCATGATACATTGTTATATTTTGTAACTAATATATTGTATCGAAAGTAGTTCGTAGTAAGGGTTGTAAGATAGTTTACGTTTACTGTATAGTTGTCTTACTGCCACACATTGTATCATGTACGATTGTCAAGCAATAAAGTTCATTCATTAATTAATATTCATTCATACAATAGTGCTACGTGTGAGAAATCTGCCAGGATTGCTCCTCGTTTCTCTGTTCGTCTCAGTATTTCTCTGTTCAAACCCAGCAAGATACTGTACATCCTTTA